CACATAACAAGTTTAACTCCTGCTGTACATGATGCTCTAATTAAACATTACACTTTTTAAGAAACATGGCTCAGAATACATTTTATCTGTAACATTCATATTCACCACATAGAATAATGAGCTTTCCCAAAGAATGCACATGGAAAATACATTTACTACATTGCACTGGATATTCCAAATCTAGTTCTGTTAAACTTACACATCTACAGCTCCGTAACATCAAACACCATCTTGTAAAATTAGAACACACTAAATTCCACTTTCATTTATTGAAACATAAATGCATGTTGCATGCAGTTTTTATTTATTTATAGCTTACATAACACAATAGCAAATAAATTACATATTACACTTGTGTATGTGGTGGTGAAATATGTGCCATACAGCATAGTTAGATCCGAAAGAACACAATGTATTCCAATCCACAGTGACATCAGCTAAGCGCCAAAATTTGTTTAATTCTAATGAACTTGTCCATGTTTTCAAACAAAAATTTTAAGATGCCTGTCAACTGAGACGACATATGCCGTGGAGTCTTGTAGAAGCTGGATGACGCTTCAGAGGTATTTACTACCTCCACAATCGAGGTGATGACGAAGGTAGTAAGCATCTCCGAAACGTCAGTAGACTTCTAACAGACTACATGGTGCAAGATCCCTGAGGACAGCCATCTTCATATATGCTACCACGATAATTTGAAAACTCGTTTCATGTAAAGTTTGTCGCGAATGCAAAATTATCGCTCACCTCACAACAGACAGGGACTTGTGTATTTTGTTCTGAATGGAGCCTAGCAGGTCTCCACCCAGCTTGTTAACAAGCCTTGTCAGCAGCACATACAGCCAGTCATTCATGTCTGCTTTGTGGGTCAGAATCAGCTCATTCAGTGTGTCCAGGAACAGGCTGAACACCTGTGAAGAATATAAATGTTATAGTACACCAGCTGCTTGTTGCATTCACAGATTAAGTCGAGGAAAGAACACAGACTGAGGGTGTTTGAGAACAGATCGCCATTTGGGTGATGAAGTGATTCGAACAAGGAAAAAGCTGCATGATGAGGAGCTCAATAATTTGTACTCTTGGGATGAAAAAATAAAGAAGGATGACATGCATAAGTATGCATAGGGGAAAAGAGAAGTGTGTACAAAATCAAGAGACAACTTGGAAGACCTACGCATAAATGGAAGGCGATTAGCAGAAGGGAAATAAGTGGGAGGGTATGGACTGGATTCACCTGGCTCAAAACAGAGACCACTGGCAGACTCTAAACAAACCCCTTCAAAATGTACTTAACTAAAATTAAATTACTGACTCACCTTTGTGTGAGAATCCATGAACATTTTGGTAAAAATGTCAGTGACTCGCTTTAGTTCTGACCCTGTGAGAGCATTTCCATTCTGAAAATAGTTCTGCAAGCCAACCAATCCCTCCTTGCGGTCCGCCCAGTGCGTGCTAGCACAGTTACCAATGATATCTGTAATGTCCTGAACACACAGCAACATCAACAGCTTTAATTCAGTACGCTGAAAATGGCAACACAGCTCAATCCAACAACAGCCAAGCACATTACACTACTACAGTGTCATTAAATGTAAAGAGAAAAGATCAAAGGTTTGGCAGGAATATAACATTCTACAGACAATTACAGCCTTTCCCTTACTAAAATTCCCTCACTTCTTGGTAGAAATTACAAATCAATGTAAAAACTTCCCTCAAATCCAAATAAGAGATGTTTACAGCACATTAATAAAACTTCTGCACGACTATCTGCAGTAGACAGCAGAAGAATTTAATACCATGAACACACCATAACATTTTCTAACCTGGCTCCCACTTCTACCACAACATTTTTGGAAACTACCTCCCTGATATTAAGCCACATGCCTCCATCTAACAACACATGCATCCCATTTTGGGCAGGCAAAATCTATAGCAGAACAAATATAGGATATTATCTTCAGAAAGATTTCCAAAGGTTTCATTAAATTTTTTTTTAACTTTTTCAAAACTATACTTAGCTTGTAAAATTTAAAGCTTAGCATTCTTAGCTTTCTATTGAAGATAAAATTCTACTGCACAATTATTATGTTACAAAAATTTCAATTCAGAAGTTGTTTCAACTTTTAACTGCACCTCAAATTAGTGTGAAGCTTCAAGGACAGTGAAAACCAAAGAATCCAGATAGAACAAAGTTTAACTGCAGCCTATGTGATACTGGCTCAAAAATCAAAGATGAGCTACAACCACTCCCATTCTCCAAATCCGTAACTTCAACTTTCTATTTCTCATTTTTGTCAGAACTGCGAATTCCTTACCTTGCTGACTGATTCCAGCATGTCCCTGTAGAGGCGCTGCTGGGAGCCACTCCAAGAGTATGACTGAATGTGCATGTGCGAACGGGGAAGATGTTAGTAAGGGTCAGGCGGGCGGGCAGGCAGACGGGCGGACAAAACATAAACAGGGATCAAACAAACAAGACAGTAATCAAACAACCAACCACAAAAAGGAAGCTCAGATGAGACAGCAGTACAATATTTGGAGATCACAGGGCAAGACCACCTGCTTGTTCTTCGAGCCATTAATGTGTCAATAGCAGATATTACACTTATTCCAAAACCACACCCCTCAAAATAAGCCTATACTAGAGCACAGGAATGCAAAAGGGAAGAAAAATTTCACAGCACTGAGTTCACACCTCAATGTGTCCCGTACACATAATACGCAATATTTTTAAATCTTCTCAGCACAGAATTGTAGACGAAAAATGATTATGTACTGGCAGTAAACAAAAGAGCTCATTGTGTATCTCGAAATACAGATCCTCAGTGAGGGGTTTTATTTAATTAATTAATGTCACTGTCATTACCTCAGACTATTAGAACTGAATGACAGGGTGTTTAATTACAAAGGATACAGAAGGAAACAGTCACTGCCTAATTTTAGGTTCTCTCCTGGAATCTGCTTGGAGGTACTGTGGAAAACCACGAGAAAATTTATCATGACAGGTTGTCTCTGGGCTTATGTTTGAACCTCGCAAATAAAAAGCAGGAGTGCCAACACAGTTAGGAGAGTTTGTTAGACTGGCTTAAGAAACTCCAAACCTACTACTACAGCAGGTAATACAGCCCTAAGACTCCAGCCCAGCCACAAAAAGAAAACAATGCACTCCCCACAAAATAGGCAAATGAAAACAAATTACAGCAACAGCCAAATGTCCAGCAGAGCGTGAAAGACAGAACGAGATAAACCGAAAGGTTTCTTACTTCAACACACGCAAGAGCTGAGCATTGGATCTATCTTTCACACTCCCTGGAACACAACGTTCCTACCATAAAACCTCAACAATCACAAGATCTCAACAGAACATGCCACAAAATGGTCATGGCTTGCTTCAATTTCGCTTTGCGGGCTACCACAAATCCCACTCAGCACAGAATAAATTTTAATAAAAGGTGAGCATAGAAAGAATGCATGATTATAATACTAAATTTTACTTGTGTAAAAACAGGTGCCACAGAGGCAAAAAATTATCATCTTACATTTCTTTGACATGTTAAGTCATTTTTGAGGGAACATTTGTTAATGTTCTAACAGATTTACAATAAATAATTTCTGGATTCCCCTAGTGGCAAAGACACAAAATACTGACCTGTGTCTTTTGACAAGAAAACATCATCTTCTCAAGCTTGACGATTAAAAGCAATAAAAATTGATTAAGAATTTTATCTGAAGTTGGAAACTAAGTTCAAAGAGGGGTAAATTCCCATTCATTTCAGAAATTCACAATGGATTAAGACACCTCCAGGATAACATTATGGATAGGACAAGAAATAAATTTATCTAACTTCCTAGTCTTCATTATAAGATGAACAAGGTCCTACTGAAGCATCTGTTGACAACTGCACTCCCATCAGCTCATGCTCAAGTATTACCGCTCAAACCAACCAAAAGCCTCTGCATTAGAATTCTACAAAATCTACAGCAGGCACCACGCTGGCAGTGCATTCTTGTTCACATGATGGGCACATAAATGTGTCTCGTCAAACATTACTATCCGCAGGATTGTACTACACGACACTGATATCTGCACAAAGTCCAGTAATTCAGCGCCTTCTCCTACTTAACTTATGTGACAGCCCTGAATCTCAAAACAATAACCTCATTATTCTGTCACTTCTCGTACAATTCTACGTGGTACAGTCAAACGAGACGGCACTGCACAGCATGCCATCTGCACAACTATATGGCCATACTACCACCACATGAGTAAAAAATTGTACTCACATCTGATGTCCTCCGGTACGATTCAAATGAACGCTCGGAACAAACGCTTGATGTCTCACTGTCATCCGAATGATCATCAAATGGGCGGTAAGATTTCCTACTGTTGGGGATGTTGCGCCCAAAATCACCACTGTCCATTGTGTCAAAGCTCTGTAATAATAAAGTATCACATATTTTGTACAGACACGTTGCATTTAAAAAGCAATGGTGAAAACAGAATGTGTATTTACAATGGAAAGAAAATGAAACAGTTCATACCAGAGGAAGACCAGGTCATTTTCTTTAATGAAATATTTCCATCCCTTCACTACACTTGATTGATATGTCAGTATAAATTGTACCTAAGCACAGAACCATAGAGGTATATAGGAGGGCTGTACGTAAAGCTACACACATTCGTAACCTCAGGTGCAGACGCGACAGAGTGGCCAGCTCTAAACTCTGGCTGCTTTAGTCCCAGCGAAAGTGTTTCTACTTGACAGGACAAAAGTACTTACAAGTATTATAAAGGTCCAGGTTCGCAGAAGCATCAGATGTTTGCAAAAATGTTAGCCAACACCTGAAATAGACTTAGAGACTGACTTTCTCTCAACGTAATATGAAAGTACTACATTTTCTTATGGCATGGCAGATATAAGCCTTTAAAGCATAATGGCAACTATATGAACCAGGATAACTCACCTACATTTTGTATTTATGGATATTATATAATTCTCAAAATTTAGAATGATTATTTCCTTAAACAGAATTAATGAATTTCTTATGTAATGGTAAAATGTTCTGTTTTCTTTGAGGTATGGACTGAATTATTAAATATTACTTAGGCAAACTCCGGCTTGAAAGGGTTAAAATGTTCGAAGTCTGAAGTTTCATTCAGCCAAATAAAACGTAATTCACATTTAAACACAGGCATTACAGAAAGGAACAATCAGTTTCTCGATTCTGGATGGCCATGACTCACCAATGCATCCGCCAAGGCCGACTCAGCTTCTCGGCTCTGCTGTAGAATCTTCTGTGCCATGACGGGTCGCTGGGGCGGACGTTCCGAGCTCATGCTATGGACTGGCCGCCCCCTGTTTCAAGAAAGCGTATGTCATAACAGGAAGTTGTAATGGATTGTTTGCCTATCAATTAATACGCCCAGACATTAACCTGACTCCATTCCAGGTTGTAGTCACGCCAATTTGTGTTTTGCGTTTCACGGAGTAACTGCTCTATCGCCAATGGAAGCCCTTTCCTTAACCCCCTACATGCTACAATTTTACAAGCCTCTTCAATAACACGCACAGAATATTTTTGCCACTTACAGATTTTTGTATTACTGTATTTATAACAAATGAATCTTCATTTTGTTAATATTATAACTATAAACATAATTAAGAAGGCTTTCAGACATCTTTTAGCACTATCACTGTCATTATTTATGTCTGTCATGTTTACCACTGGCAACTGACTAGTCTGATTCAAACACAAAATGTATCCTTCAAATGAAAGTTAGATCAAAGTTAGAAAATGTGGAATAATGAAAATAACGTAATCTATTTTTATGAGCTAGGCTACATCATGTGTGGTTTGTTATCTTTAAATCTGTGTCTTTCAGAATCTTACAAAGCGGACCCACAGCAGCCACGTTAAACTTTGTTTCCATTTTTCTCGTTTAAAATGAAGTGTGGGCTAAGCCCAATGTCGTTCCCAACTCCTGTTTCTGAAAAACAAAACTCTACATTAGAGCACCAGGGTTCTGAAGATAAATTTTTAAGAGCTTTTCAAAATTTTTGTACAGATTACAGACATGAATCAGATTCTCACCAGAGCTTGGAACCAAATGACCGATCATGTATTCCAGTCATGCCAAAGCGGTTCGGACTCGTCTCTCTGCTGCCATCACGGCTTGCACCTGTTGAGCGGGGTATTCCGGAAGACAATCTGCGCGGCCGACCCACAGAATGTACACCATCACCTGTACTTCCTTCCCTACTTGCTGTCGAGTATGTCGCATAGCTCAGTCTTGATGATGGGGATCCTGATCTGCTGCTTGCTGTAACATTTGTTTGATACAAGAACTCAACAATGAAATGAACGAAGTTGTTTGGCATTATTTACAAAATTTATCAATTCCTTTATATTAACTGCAACTTTGGAGACTACTGTTTTAAATAAATAGTCTGAAGGAAATTACATTAGTACTGTGCAGATAAAATGTTATAAGCAAACAATCTTTGAAACAAGTTAAAAGTACAGAAAGAACAATAATAAAGGAAACTTCAAAGTTGAAAGTGAGAAATCTGAAAGTTGTGCTGCTGAAAGGCAGCCACTCTACGAACGTGCCAAAGTTTACAGTAGACTGCTTATGCACAGCAAAGTGCACAATACAAACAAGAACTGAAAAACAGAAAGGTACGAGAGAAAGATTCTATCTTACTATTTTCTTTACTGCGCTCACAACACCGTGAGGCCTCAATACTAGCGTAACATCCACTACAAGACACAACTTACGCTGGGACTGGGAAACGCCTGCAACCCGACTCCTCGTCCGACCAACCCGCTCTGGTGAAGTAATGGCACTGATGGTCATTCCTCCACTCACTTCTGGTGTCTTCCTAGGACGAGCTAAAATAGGACAACCCATATCATGCACATAATTCATCACCTCACAAGACTAATTTTAGGTAAGTTCTCAATTCTAGGTTACAATAAATCAATACTTTTTAATAATAAATCTTACAAACACAATTATTTGCATAAGAAAATGAATGCAAGTGTTAGAGATTCCATCATTTGAGAATGTTGTGTTACAACTGTGAAATTTGGAAGCCAATAAAATATGCCTATAAATTTTGTATGAAACACTTATCCTTGTGTTAAAAATTATAAACCTAAATAAAATTGCAAAACTATGACAACTTTCAGATAGTGAAAGCTTACATTACCAAAAATTATGCGTAGAAATAGATCAGCAATCTTTTTAACCCCTTCTGTATCAACTTCAAGGGCAAATTACATACTCAATCACCCTGATTCATGGCACAGATTGTAAGCCTTCCACCGCAATTAGTAAGGCTCCCCACAGCACACAACAAGACAATTATTAATTTATAATGTATACTAGCAACTCTGAACAGTTCAAAATACTTATAGGAAAGAAAGCATTACATTTTTACCACAAATTTTTGTTTTAGCTTGTTCAAAATAACATAAAAATAAAACTTCAGAGCAGCCATCAAACAAACCAAAAGTTATGCAAGTACACAACAGGGTTTCCAAAGCCAATGCAAAAGCATTTGTAGTAAAAATGTACTCGAATGAGTGTAGCAAACACACAAATTTATACCCCTTAAATTAAATTTAACATACACTAGTAGTAACAACCGACAGTCAGTCAACTTAAATACAGAAAATGTTATATATTTACAAGATTACATGTTTCAGTAAACATTTCTTTTTAACATACTGATATTGATATAAAAAGTAAATAAAATTAGCCAGTCCAACACTGAGACTTCAGAACTTAATTTAGTACATCCACACAAAAATGTACATGTTCTTATAACATGCATATGATGACAGAACACGAATTTAAGCGATGCATTTCAATTGGTACCACTCATAAGAAACAATGCAGTTATTTTTCAAAATATTAATGCTCCAATTCTTCCATTTTTCAAAAATAAATTATATTCCAGAATTAGAAGAATCGAATAAACAAACATAAGAACATGCAAACTGTTAAGTTCTGAATCACATGCACAAACTCACTTGAACTATGTTCATCACCTGAATCCAAGCAGCATTAAAAAGGAAACAAATGTTAGAAAATATTGTTAGCATGTGAGCTGCTTTCTCCATCTTCCTGACAGTTTCTAGAAGAAAGTTTGCTATGAAAGACAAGATATAGAAAAGATGCAGGCAAAGTTGTCAGCATGATGAGATGATGCATATTGATCAGTGTAATTGATAATATTCTCCTCACCATAATTTCTATCCCTCCCGTAGTTCATTTATCCATACACTTGGCCTCTACTGGTAATTTAAACACAAAAAATTCTGATTTTTAAATTACATTTGGTTGTTTTGCTGTTTCATACGCAAAATTTAATTAAATATAATCAAAGTATTTTAAAACTTCACATGTTCACTAAAATGCACCAGAATAGCCTAATGCCACCACAAAGACCTTTCATTCAAATTATTTTTAATTTCTTGATTAAAAAATATTCTCTTGCTAGTAACTCGACAGATTCTCTCACCACTACCTAATACAACTGATTTTCACAAAACTTAAAATAAGTTATTAATATTTATGGCCAAATTACATACAGGATATTTTTAAATGCCATTTTGCATGAAATTCGACGCCATGAAAAAACCCACATTCAATTCAGAGACTATTACAAACTTCATTACTTGGATATCTTAACTGAAGATTGATAAATATTTTATAGAACAGGTAGAATGAAGGAATGAATTTGCAAATATTCTCTTCAAATGATAAAACAATGTGTGTACAGCAAACTAATGTGACAAAGTATGGTAACTAAAAATGCACTGAAATACAGAAAAAGAATTTGTACCTATGAGAAAACCAACTGTTATGAAGTGCAGAAGATATACTGGCCTTAATCATACGTTGTGCAGACTGTCTCAACAAGCCAAAGCCGATCAAATTATCCGCACAACCCAAAATTAAATTTTTTATATATCTCTCTAACAAAATTATATAAAATGTGGTCATGAGAGAACTATGCTCAAGAATCACTGAATAAATGTAAGAGTAGTGAAAATGTTAAAAACTTTATGAAAAATATTATGTTACAAATGTATGCATATCTCGTTCAGCTGACTTGACACTGCAATTTGAAGGTAGGCTGAGGGAGGGGTGGTCTACAACTTACGTAGGGAAGCACCAGACCCCACTTTGTGTCTGGCGAGGGCAGCATACTGTGCCCGAGCTTTGGCCCGCTGAGCTGCCTGCAGGTCGATGGCGCTGTTAGAACGCAGAGCTGATACTCCGGGCGGGCCAGAACCCCGCCGGGGAGATCCATCTGTACCCAACGCATCCAAATGTTCAATGTTAACAACATTCTGGGTTGACTTTGGCTTACCAACATATCGAGCCATAGGCATTTAAAGCCTCCAATGATTGAGACTTGTCACTGATAAGAATGTAAAATTATTTTCAAGGATTCATTACCATTCTCTACTGATTAAGCAAGGAATTGATTAAATGCAATAGTCTCTTCAATCTTAAGACACAAACGTTCATACTTTATAAGTTAATTTTGATTTAACAAGATACACCAAAAACATTAAATGAAGGAACATTCAGTGCATTCAACTCAAATTGTTGAATATTTGTTAAACAATTTATATAGTTACCAAGTTATAAGATCACTGATGACTGTGAAAACAAAAACTGAGATTACTTACTGTAACTTGAGTTGTAATGGCTCTCATTTAAGAACAATAAATAAAAAAATAAACAGCACTGAACAAGAAAACAAAACATCAAATCTCAGAGAAAAAAGAATGAGTGCAGAATAAAGACAGAAGTGTGCACAGAAAAGGAACAGACAGTGACGACAAAAGAGGTGCTACCAACATTCAAATGTAACAGCTGCACAGGCTGAGCAATGGCTGCAATCGAACACCTGAAGACTTGAAATATAACGCTCATACAAGAACATGAACCGCACTGTTCGATGACCGCTTCCTTCCATATCCTTTCCAAGCCGTTCATTAATTATATTATAATTTAATACAGTACACTCTGAGATACTGACATTAAATAAACCGCAACAGTTTTACTTTTACACCAATTCTTTTTCTGCATTATACTCAGTCAATTACAGAACCTTCACATATACTTGAAATGAACAAAATCATGGTAGATTTTACTTATAATGTGTTACAGAATAGTTATTTAAATATATTACATACAACTGCCGTTATAATAAAAAAATTGGTAAAAAATTACTAGTCACCTTACAGGCAAACAAAATGGTTGATATACATCTGAAAAAGCTATGATAAATTCATAAAAAAAATAGACTCTATGCCAACAACCATGCAAAGCAAGACTGTCATATTTATCAGGCTATAACACACGTTTTTTCTTTAAATTTTATTCTTATTAAAATACAGGGGACAGAAAACCATAAAAAAAAACGACTTAACAACTTCTATGTAACTGCAGTAGCTTGCACATTCATAAATTGTATTCATATTCAGAACAGCAATCGTGAGATTTTTGTTGGTGGCTGCCATACTGACAGGCAATACTATATTCTACATTTCTAGAGCAGTGGGTCTGCTTTTGAACTACATTTCATAAAGCTGCAGCATCCATCATACTCACTTCGACCAAAGGAAATGATTTCAATACTCATATTAAATATTTATATGTAACTGATGTTCTTTTAAGAGTTTCAGTTCTTAAGCATTACAATAAATATACCTATAGAAATGTTACTAAATTGTAAGAGATAATATCTACAAATTTTATCTGAATAAATAAAAAAAAAATATTTGAAGTTAACCATTACGAAAAAAGTCATCTCATATCCAAGGATGTCTTATAGTCAGATAAATTTGGAACCTCCAAAGGATCTTAACACATTCACTGCCAAAGTACAGAATTTACATTTAGCAGAGGCAATTTATAATGGCGAGCTCTGAAATTCCCAATTTAGAACACCTCCTTTTATACTTATATAATCTCTGGAGAAATCCAATTAGCTATAAATACAAACTGCTCAACAGATAATTTTGACGACAATGCATTAACCCTTTGATGCCAAAGCTATCTAAATAATATTTATGAATTCAGTCCGCACCGCAAAGAAAAAACAACTCTTCACCGCTACAAAGATCAACTGGTTAATACTGTTTGTGAAAATAATCGCTGTTTACACTGAGAATCATACAAAACCCATGAAACAAAATAAAGAGTTACTGATGTTAAAACAAACTCTTACCACTGGGCTTTAAAGGTTTTATTTCTTTCTTTCTTTCTCTATCTCTGCGTATAAACTGCATAATTCCATTTTGTGAATGTGATAACTAATCATCAGCCTACTTCAGAGTTACAGCAATTTTTGTTTTGCATTCCTGTAACGTCAAAGATGATATCAGGCATTCTATTACTCCCTTATGCTTCATTCTGTGTCCCACCAAAGCACAAGTCATGGGAGCACAAAAATTATGAATACAAAAAGCTGATAAAATTACAGAAAATACAAATGATCTGAAATACGACTGTACACACTCTCAGCACCAAAGGTGATAAATGTACAGCAAGATATTGCAAAGTGTCTCTCATAAAGAACATCAAGAGAGAAACAAAAGATTTCTGCGTGTTCCGCATTACGTTCCTATGTATCCCGAAGGCGGCTATACACAATATCACACCCACAAAGTCTACTACAGGCAGAGTGATGTATTTAATTTATCGCCATTCCGAAATTTGTAAAACGTTACTTTTTCTATAGATAGTGCAAAATAACACCAATGAGCTTCATGCCCCAGCATTTAAAACAAGGCTGGCAGTGAATGTTTAAACAAAACCATCTCACAATGTTCTCTCACAAATAGTGGGTTGCGCTGAAATTCACATATACACATATATGTCATAACAGCAAACAAGCTTTATAAAATAATATTACATTGGCGTTGCCTTATTGCAGGTGGTGCTTGCAAACTAAGCTGGATCAGGGTACAACAAAAAATTAACGGTGTCCCATAACACAACTCTCTAGTGGTTCCAAAACAAAGAAGAGACAACTAGACACACATCAGACCTGCACCAACTGACTTGGGCCCACTTGCCGCAGCAGCAAGCACTGGAATACCCGACCGATGGTGACGTGTAAGCGAGGGAGTGCGGTGCAGACCCGAGTGGTACTGTGACTGCTGATGGAGGTTCTCGGTGCTGCCTGTGCCACACCCAACACAACCAAACACCCTCACACAAAATTTCCCCACAGTACTTCAGTAAAGCCTTGACTGCCAGATTTGATTCACATGACAGATATAAAATATTATTAGACATAACTTTACACTTCTATCAAGGATAAGGTAGTATGTATAAACATTAAAATGAGGTTCTATAAACCACTTTTGCAACAGATAAGTAAAGGGTCATAAAATGTAGGAAATGTCAGCTTTCACATTCTCATGGTGACAAGTTTGAAGATGGTTGTCTTCTGCACCATGTACAACTTCGGAACATTAAAAAGAAACAAAAGCAGTATTCAAAGTACATATAAATTCACAACCACACTTAAGACTAAATTTTGACATACATTTAATAAACATTGTTTTATTTCCTTCATACGGCATTAAAATCAAAACAAAATCATATTCACCCATATCTAACATTTATAAATAAAAAATTATGCACAACAGGATATGTAGAAATCTAGGCGAGAGCTATGTCGAATATTTGGTGTTAAATGTTCCAGCAAACACTGCAGGTGCCTTGAAAATTGCAACTGCAATGTTTGACAAAACGTTTGTAAATACCAAATATTTAATGCGGTTCTCACCAAAAAGCTGAAGTTATACACTGAACTCCAGCTGTGGAAACCTCTGGGCAAGAATTAATCTAAAGTTGACAGAAACCTAACATACCGTTAAGTCAGTGTGCCTCCATACTAAAACGTAGTCATGATCAATATTACGTATTTAAATCACTAAAAGAAAATTAATAATGAGAACAAGCTGATAGCTGTAGAGTAGATACTTTTGTCACCGTAGTAAAACATACGCAATGTAACGCAAAACAGAATTTGTAGACCTCAGGTTCAGAAGCGCTGAACTATCACATGATGCAGTTCCTTGGATGACACTGCTTGCTATACTACCGTTTCTCTCAACATGCATGTGCATACATAACGGCTGTAATTCTACATGCATTCAAGAAAACACCACAGGCAAACAGGGTTCCTGGGTCAATAAGGGACAGTACATATACATGTTAACAATTAAATAATAATTTCACTGAATGGGCTGACATCATCAAGTTCAATCCCCGTCACGTCCGTGACTGTTCTTTATAATCTAAATTTATATATACGAGGCGCGTCCTCAAAGTAAGTTTCCCACTCGTCCCACAGCTAGCAAACCTTATATTGCGCGAAGCGACTGTGCGTACGTGATAGAGCAATGACGTAGCATGGCGCATGCACTAACGGCACTTCCCGCGTTCTCACAGTAGCATCGTTGCAGCTGTTGAAGATGGAGGTTCTTATTCCAGCTCCCGCCGACTGTGAAGTGCGGTCAGTGATAACGCTAGGCCGCACACGGCTCGACAGACAGCGAGTCTCCTGCAGGAGTTCAGCTGGGAGGTGTTTAATCATCCACCCTACAGCCCGGACCTCGCTCCCAGAGATTTCCATCTTTTCCTACACCTCAAGAAATTCCTGTCCGGTCAGCGTCAGCGTCAGCGTTTTGAGAATGACAGAGAGGCGGAGATGGTTGTCACACAGTGGTTCCAATCCCAGGCGGCAGACTTCTACGACACAGGTATTAAAAGTTGGCGCCTCATAGTATAAATCCAAACCACTTCTTGCGTCACATTTAAATATTCTGAAATCTACAATTTGTGTTGGGGGGAGCCTTCCCTGGCAATGTGACTTGCCCCATTAGCAAGGCTTACCAGTGGCACTGCTGGGCAGTCGAACTCGGGGTGTGGTACCTCCGCTGCCATAACGAGACACCGTCGAGCCTCCACCCTGGTGGTGTAAGGAGTTAGTTGAGCTGGAGTTTGAGAGTGTTAGATCTCCATTTAGAGCTCTTTTATATTGGATATCCAGGGAGTTCAGAAGTGAGTCCGCCTGCTCTGGGAAGTGACTTCGAAAACTCCAGTATGCCCTGCAGACAACATGACATTTTAAACCCAACGACTTGCACATGTACCACCTACAACGTTCACCATCTCGTTCTGTATCCTCACTTCAAAATGGCCCATATTCTCACTCCCACTACCTAAACAAATGTATTAGTAATTAACTCTATTCTTAGCCATTCATAATAATGAAATTAGCATACATGGTGTCACAACCCAGAAGACCAACACCATCATTGCATTTTAAAATATGTATTTTAACTCCATTTAACATCTTTCCAACTGTATAAACATGTTATAAGCATCTTGCACAGCTTGATTTGGTTTTGTGCTTATGTTTCCTGAATACACATACACATACTTACCTGTTGTTCCTTCGCTTAATTAAGCACCAAGCCACGAAGACGTGACGGTTAAAAATTTAACTCTGTGTGGTATAACCTTCATGGTGAAGGGAAAAATCCATGCTCTTGCCAGGAATCAAACCCAAGTTATCCCGCTCATAATGCTCTCGAATATGACTTACTGTCTGGCACACAGCCTAGCCTCAGGATCTGCATCGGCAATGCCCTTCTTGATGGCATCCTGTAGCAGTGCAATGTGCCTTTCCAGAGAATGCGTTGACCAGGAGTGCAACAGCTGTTCTAAGAATTCGCAGCATGCGCGGCGAATATCTTTTGATTTCGAGTTGAGGTTCTGGGCGATGATTGGAATTAGGCGTGGTGAATGTGTGTACCGGATGATGAATCGCACCGTCACCACGCCAGCTGATGCCATTATCTGTATAATATAAAGCAGTGGCACATTTTAAACACACTGATACAATAAATTTTCGCCATGAGGGCTCTGAATACTGATATATTTCACTTCCGACAAAATCATCAGAGCTCCATCATACGAATAAACTTTGCTGCAGTCAGACAGACTGACTGATTCTTAGTTTACTTAATGCCACAGCATACAATTTGTACACTTCAGACTGAAACCACAATAAAATGAAAACCATAATTCTAAAGTAATCCCAATGCACTACAAAGATACTAACTCACCTTGGCTGAGTTCTGGATGAGACTGATGAGACTGTTCAGAAGATCCTCTGCAAAGTGGTCACACCTGGGGCCCAATTGCTCCGACAGGAATGCTATCGTGTAGCATGCTTCCCTGACCACCTGTGATCTACAGTGTGGCAAAAATGCAGTGTAACTATTTGAAACACTGTATTCTTTTATTAAAATCAATGGAAAACGACTAACTAAAGCACAAACACACCCATTTTTCCTTTAAATCTTTTGTTGACATGACATCATGGTGACATACCTGAGATCTTTGACGGAAGTCTGGAACGAGGGCTCCAGTAACTTGAGGTGAGCGTAAAATTCATCAAAACTTGATGCCCCAGCAATGACCAAGGATCGAACCTTCTTCAACTGTAATCCAAGACAAAAGTCTTTAACCCACTCGCTCTATGTACCACACGCTAACATCATTTTACCAATAAAGTGTATGCATTTATGGATTTTGCAAGATTCTCAGAGCAAACAATGATTATTTCCTTAAGCTGTATTAATTAAAATGATGTTTGTTCTGAAGACATGTCGTATTTTCTTTAAAATAGGGATTAAATCTGTAAATATCATTTAGATGAGCTTTGGCTTCAAAGGCTTAAGTCAAAGACTGGTTAAAACTTTGTCCAGACTGAGATATGAATTTATTTCTTTCAGTGTAAGAATGTTTCAAGTTGCACAACACCTATCATTCAATCCAGAGTTTACGGATCATTCCCGGACAATGGACCTGTAAAACGCCAGTGGATTTTCCAAATAATAAAACCCAATCTGTCTCATAACCTGGACACACAATTATTACTAACAAGCCTAAACATGTTTATTCGTAACACAAAAACTAACGTCTTCATGCGGTATAAAATACTAACTACGATATGTGGACTTACATAATTGCTTGCATGAGTAATTTAATATCACTACATCAACTGCAGAATCAGTTACATCAGTAGACCCTCAAAATATATTGCACATGATGAATAGTGTTACTCACTGCATCTACCCTCTTGGACCAGTCCTTGTTGGGGTCAGCAATTGTTTCACGTATTACCGTCAACTGCTTCTCTAGATCTCGTGCAGAGAATAACTGAATGGTTGGTACATCTTCAAATGCCCTACTGAATGTCTCTTCATCCACTGCACCAGCCTGACCTGTTAAAAGAATCATTCCAAATATGTACAGAAAGTAGCGTACATTATATTCTACTATAAAAATTTGTGATTTGTCGTCGTCATCAAACAAATAACGCTTCACAACGACGAGATCACCAACTACCAAGACAGTCGCATGATCACTGCCCCAGAAGCAGCACACCGCATTCTCGAAAATGAAGATTTGACTGACAGTTGGCCTCCAAACAGAGACGTAAAGACCTATTTAAGAAATGAAGAAAAGTGAAAGAAGACATTATCAACTATTTGAAGTGCCAACACCAACAAGGTAAACTGATACTAATAATACTACTCATTCGATATATTACGATTACGAAAACTATTACAAAAACTGACTTTATGATCGATTTTAAGACAAAGATTTGCAAGGGTGGAGTTGGACATAGAAAGTTGACTGACCAAGAACAGTTGGCCTCTGAACAGCGACGTAAAGAAGTAAAATATCAGATTAGAGAAAGCGCTCAGAAAGGAGCGCGTTGCTCTAGTAAAGTCATAATTATGTAACTCAGTAAAATGGAGTTCGAAATTTTATAATTTTGTAAGGTGGTTAGTTTGGTAACGCAACTGACACACGTAATATTAACTAACAAAGCCAAGTCTTCACTGAGAAGTTATCACAAAATTCCCTAATTCTATGAAACCCAAAGGTTCATTACAATGTCCACAAAAATCCGCAGATGGACCGTATTCTGCACCACTTCACACCTTATTCCTCTAAAATCCATTTCAATACTATTTCATCAATGCCCCCTGACGTCTGAGTGCCACAGATTTATATCCATATCTCATTTAACCTATGCAAATATGCCCCCTGACGTCTGAGTGCCACAGTTTTGTATCCATATCTCATTTAACCTATGCAAACTACATGCCCAGCAATTTCACTTTCTTTGATCTAATTAGTGTAACAAACTCAGACGAACAGTGAAAACTATGAAACTGAAGATCCAAAGATCAACCAAGATCAAGACAACTTAACCAAAAGATAAATACTGTTAAACAGTGAGGAAAAATACGAAAACGTAGGAGATATGTGGAGGCGTTTCACATGCTGACATATCCTTAGTGGAAATGATGCCAGAAGAGTTCATAAAAAGTAAGCAAAGTAAGACATAACTTCAAACCGTACTCGTGCAACAAATATCTCCTAAAATATGTCCCATAATCTTATAGATGACTCTCACTGCAAAAGACATTCAAGGTCCAACTGTTCCTCGAGACAATGAAGGTTGTCTACTGTGAACAGGTTCTGTGAGCAGCAACGTGTCACTCCCCATCAGTGTAATACGATAATGTACCAACAAACAACCAACTGACAGGTGTGCTATTACAGGAACCACAACACAAGAATGACTTACAGCAATAACTGCTCAGTATGCATCTTGGTCTAGGTCCCCGATGTGGCACTGCATGGCAGAAACATAATTACCTTTACGAAAAGACAACCAATATACATGGCTATGTGTCTTCTGATTATACTTGAAACTCGTTCACTTTTACAAAACTGAAAATGTTCAGTATTAATATTCAGGTACCGGAGTTTTCTAACCTCCAACTAACTTATGTTTAATTTTTCTTTGCTTAATCATATTACACTTTTGCTCACAGTTCATGAAGAGAGACAAATGTTGCAATGATAACACACTGTGAATTCTCACGACAAGTACTGTATAATAAATGCCACCACCCAGTAAACAACACCATCACTAAAAACTGACAGAGCTTAGTATAGCGATCCCAGCGAAAGAACAAGACAACGACGCTAAAACAATATATAAACTGTATTCTGAAACATGCGATCTGCAAGGAAGCAACAGTGGTCTATTTGTAGGTAATATAACAACTGCCCGCAGAGACTGCGGGGAACCATAAACGCTAATCAGGATTGGCAAGAATTAAACTAAGTGCCTGCAAATATAAGTACAGAGCAGCTTTGGTTTTAGTTTTAGTGATGATAAACCTTCAACTTGTACGACCACAGAGTTATCTTCACCTTTCTCAGCAATATCAAACCCCCCCCCCCCCCAAAAAAAAAAAAACAAACAATGCACACACAATACGAAACATTGCATGCTTCATGTTGGACATTAGCAGACCTGATATTACAACATCTAAATACAAGACAAACATCAACCGAAGATACGAGATGAAAACTGTAAAACATTTTTACCATCAAACTATGCAGCTTCACAGAATTGGTTCTGATAAGAGCAGCATTAGTCTTCCTACTTATAATCCAGCTAAAAACTCAAATTAATCTTGATTTAACTCCATTCAGAATCCCAGAATGTGTCGTCGTCAGCAGCGCACAGACAGAGACTGACCGAGTAAGTATCGGGACATACCTCCTGCAGATGGTGTCGGCCGCCGCAGGGACGAAGTTCTCTGTATCTTGCTCCCGGTTCCAGGGGGGGCTGTTCGGCATGCACAGTCAGCAGCAGCAATCCAAGAATAAGAAAGGGACAAGGAAGGAGAGGGCAAAGGGTCAGGTAAGAGAAGTGTTAGCACAGAACACAAACACAAACACCTAATGCATCTGACAAACACTGTTACTGAAAGCTTCCTGGAACCCATCAACACAGCCCACAGTGAGGAACACGCCTGGAAGTTACGCTGACTTGAGAATATAAAGCATGACCAATGCAATCAAAGCTTCATGCAGTCCAATCAAGAAGCCTACTCGCGGAAATGTACGGAATGTAACAATTCTGGCGCTTTTACTCTGTTATTACCCCTAGATTTACAATTTGTAAAAAATACATTTTTATTACCTCAATAATAACAGACTTACAGAAAAAGTGTTCAAGTTTTGTTCATAAATTTTTTGCTCCAACAAACACTTCATGAGTTACACATGTACATTTTCAAGTAGTGTCCATTACTCACACCCAAATTTCACCCAAACTGGAAAATGTCAAAAAATTTTAGTAAAACTTCTGAAATTAAGATTTCGTTGAAATTCATTCAACAGTTCTTGAGTAGTCAGTCATGTAAAATTTACTGGGTGCACTTTATGTCAAAACTGAAGTTTTGGGAGAAAATTCAGGTGACACGCCTCTTGCCCAAATGTTAACAGAATACAGATACATGCACAGTTGATGGATTCCAGGTTTGTCAAAGTACTGTGACCAGCCAAAGCATCACACAGAAACGCATCATGCCATCACTACACGCCAGTACCACACCAAGCAGCGGTCCTCTTACATTATTACGTGACACTTCAGACTCATTTTAATATTATTCTGAACTTCCTTCAACAGGTTTCTGTTTCTCTTTTTTCCACTTTGGACGCTATGTGAAGAAAAACTTGGAACGAGCAGCAAGTGAATTGGTAAAATTTCAAGGAAAAAACATTGAACTGTACCTACAACAACAAGCATTCTTTCAACTTCATGTCACTAAAGATTTTCACAGAATCTGGTCACTTAACTTTCACGGCAATCCGACGACCCGTACTGCAAGGATTACATATTTCTAACGACCAGTAATGTCTGGTAGCAGGACAATTCAAAATGCGTGAACTCAAAACGATACTCACCAGGTGTGGACGGGACAGACTTAATAGCAGAAAATATCCCTCGCCTTGGCACACTGTTAGCTCGCTTTGTTGCAGATTTCTGTTGGCAAACAACGATTAATGGATCAGGGGGACGACGTGACAAATATTTGGTACACTTTATGCTACAATATTCTAGTTTGATTATATAGGGGAATTTCAGAGATGACCCTTCTGCGCTTTCAGAAAGAATACGCAAACCAATCCAGATTCAAATATTTCCATCAGGTCAAAACCAAACTGTTACAAAGCGAGAAGTTCTGGAAAGAACAGATGACGGTCCCTTTCTTTAAGTAAGTGTTACTACCTAGGCCAACACACAAGGAAGTTCATACTTCTGCAAAATACCTAAAGCTTTTAATTATAGTAAAGGTATGAGTACTTACAACAATGCCTTCGACCTCATCATCTCCTCGGCCACCTGTAACAGAAAACATACCTGAAATGGACATTTCCAAGACATAAGCTTCTGTCAAGACTAGAAATTTACATATCAGTAACCCAATTATTAGAAAACAGCTTCGGTCATTCCCCATACGTGATCTGTCGCAAATTTCGAGAAAATCCACAGACATGAAAACACGTGAAGAGTAGAATCTGTCCTGTGCCCAAGACAACCGCGTCCTGTTTACATCGTTCACGTGTTTCTGTCAAGTGCGGCCCGACTAAAGCATATTTCTGAGATGGGAAACCACCCATCGCAGCATCAACTGGGCCTACTCATAACATCCATAATCTGTTGCAAAGTCGTTCTCCAAGACTTTCGCTGGGCAAATCCGACCAAGGACTGGAGCATCTTTAGTGGCCAGAGGAGATCCCATTCTCAATAAACAAAGAAAAGTGACAGACACAAACAAACGAGGCTACAAAGCGTTCTTCGTCCAAGCCACAGCGTGAAGAACTCCTACCGAGAAAAATCATGTAAAACCTTGGTCCAAAAACCTGTTTCGAAGAAACGACGAACGTGAGTGGTTCTGAGAAGAGGTCCTGACATTTGAGTAAACATAAATGAGCCAAAAGCTCAGTCGGCAAAGACGGAGGAGAACTCACAGACATTAAACCGATCTAACCGTTGAACAAAGGCATCCGGCTCAGTTGCGAAAGATGGAAGATTATCGTGACACACTTCAAGGCACTCCGCTACTCAACACTCGCCCCCGAGCAAGCGAAAATCTACTATAAAAGGCTCAGCCAGGAACGAACTCCGATCTTCTGAATACAAGCCTCATACGGGGGTTACCTCACGCCGTTGTTCAGTTGCAATGGACGGGGTCCTTGTGGGCGTGTAGAAGGCAAAGGGATCCTTCGCCCTGTTTCTCCTTTTTTTCCCCCCTTCACTCCAAAGTAAGTCATTACAGAACATTCAAAATAATCCTACTTTGTGCAAAGTTATCTTTCCATAAATTATTACGTCAAGTTCATGACAGAATCTCGTGAACTTCCTGGCATCAAGAAACATCACGACTACGACCAATCGTTTTCCGCATTTTGACCGCACTGGCAGAAGACAACCTCGGGGGGATGTCATCGCGATGACTCACAGCCCAGAGGGAAATCTGTTCGCGTGATGACGCACCTCCGTAAAGCAGTCCATCTTCATCAACGTCCGAGAGATGTCTCCATTAACGAAAGAATGGGCGGACACTAACAAGATCAAGATCCCAACCAGCTCTCAGCTTCCAGGGTCCAGATAAAGATGCAGTAGTACCGCTGCTTAATTAAGCACGACGCCACAAAGATGTATAGGGGGACTGGAGGTATAGCTCCACGCTTAAACCTAGGAAGTATTTCCACCTTTACCTGAGGCGAAACAGCCCTCGCCAAAGACTGGCTCCATCTTCTTACAACTGGGCTTCAGAGCGTTAAATTTCGAAGATTTCTGTCTTCTGGGTTGTTGCGCTGTGTAGTCTGGTAGATGTTAACAACGTTTCAGGGGTCATACTGCCTCCATCATCAGCGCAACAACCCAGAAGACAGAAATCTTCATACTCACAGCTGCGAAAACCTCAAATCTTACGTTAAATTTTGGTTTTTCATTGAGAAATTCAAAGTTCTGTTTTATGCACAACTCTGGTAGTATTTTTCAATGCCAAAAGAATTTCAAGGTACGGAAAACAATGCACTACACCAGCGTTTCTCAACCTACGGTACGCGAGCCAATGTTGAGTGGTAAGCGTTTGGTTAGTGGTACATTTGATGGGTTAAATCAGAATTAGTGGCACGTTAGAGAAGAAGGTTGAGAACCCCTGCACTACACAAATGGCTTAACAACATCTTAAGCACAGTACTTGTACTAGCATGTGCTAACTTTGGTTAAGTTTCTCCTCTATGGACTTTGGCGTTGTAGTCGTGGGAACTTCGCCTTCACGCTGTGAAGATTGGAAAGTAAAAACATTCCCTAGACACGCCCTCGTAGAATTACCTCAGCAGTTACATAACATCATGACTTTACAGCAAGTCACGCCTCGTAGGGAATAAGCAAGGATCCTAGCGGGATTCGAACTACAGGATGTGACCTACCGAACCTTTAAAAAAATGTGGTTAAATATCCCAGAGGTACAGACGGAACATTTACGATTATGACGAGAATGTTAAAAAAAAATTACAGAATTTTCGAATACCCAGTGGGAAATACGTAATGACATCCCGAGGCCTGTACGATTTTGTCCGATAACCTAAACCACGGAGAAGCTGACAGTGGCTCAGTTGGCAAACCAGAAGGTGTCCATTACCGCGTTCACAAGAGCCCGTCACCAGACGAATCCACTTTGTACTTACATTGACGTGACTCTGACATGACGATGACATGTACGTTACCTCAAAGTGACATAAGTTTTAGCTCTCAGATTCATACAGATCGGGA